TTGTAATGTCACCAAGTCTTCCCTCCAAGTGGTATCCCAACCCAGCCATCATTGCATCGCCTCCCGCTTGCTCCACAAAACAGGCTTTTCTAATTGACACATTGTTTTCGAGAGGTTCTGCATTTCTTAACTAAAAAGGTTAGTCAGACTAGGCCGCTTCAGATGATGCAATGACTAAAAAGGGTGTTTTCCCATCTCGCCTGTGTCCGAAAGGGTTCAGGATGTTCTTTTCATTGTTGGTCATAGTATAGACGTGACTTTTAAGGCAAAGCGCTGTATTTACGTTGAACTGCCTGAGGAAAGAAAGATTAACATACTCATAATGCCATGAGTAGTCCTTACGAAACCAACGAATTTTAGTTCGATTCTCTCCCGAGGGGTGGGGTGGGGGACAGCCGTTTCGAATTGGTCACACTCACAACTCCAGAGGGTCTCTAGGCCAGGCAGTACAGCGTGCGGTTCCAGCATGTTACTCCTACACCCCCTTGTCCCACTTCTCGAAGGATCCTGTTGATTATCATGTCGATACCGGCTCAGACAGACTCGTAACTGAAGTTCATCATTGACGATAATAACTTTGGGCGACAAGGTCAAGAGGACATAACTAGTTTTATGAGTCCTAATCATGTGACTGCGGGAAAATTCAACTTACTACTTGTGAGTAATGCAGTACATATGTGAAATCGACGAGTACTTCCAAAGACTACTTAATTCGAGTACATTCAAACGTTAGCCACACTTTTCCTATATTGTATTATTACTTGTATAAAGACATAATTATTATATAATTTTGTATAGTTATCATCAATGGGTCTCGATATTCTCAGTAAGAGCTATACTCACCTTCGTTTGCATAAGGCGAGTCAAGGAGTAATAGTTGGGAAACTTTACCTAAAAAATGTCAGTTCTAGTGGATATTTTGTATTTGCATTTACCGGCTATCGGATAGACTGTTTATGTAGAAAATTGTTGTTCTGCCATCACACCTTCAGTATAGTGTAACCTTGGAAACTAGGCTCGCTGGTCCTTTCATTTAGTGCCCTCTCTCAAATGAAGACATCTTCAACAATTGGCCAAATAATCGAGCTAACAGGTGGTATTCTATATATTGGAAAAGTTGTCGAGATTGTGTAAGGGCAGATTTTAAATAGTTCAGAAGTGTCAAACAATTAAGGATCTCTGCTTATTTTTAGCTTTTCTCAAAGTGTATTGTCTACTTATTTATAAAGTAAGTAGTATGCCATTAAAGAATTTTTTTTCCGTTTGGATTTTGATTTCCCTCCACCGATTTGCGTAACACGAAAGATTATATGGTCAAATGTTGACGAAAGTCTGCAACACTGGCGTCATATACTGCAGTTGGTGATTGAGGAGCATCAAGAGCTTTGCCACATTGCAGAAGATTCCACTCATTCAGACACAAAAAATTCGTCAGGGCCAACCACTCCTTCCCCACTACAAAGTTCAGTTGACCCTGTGCTTCTGGACGCGATGCAGCGAATCTGTAGCCTTCAAGAGGACCTGTTACCGGGCCTCAGGCAACTGGTGCATCCCTGTCTTCAGGTAACTCAACAAATAGCTATTCTCTCACAATTTGCTTTATTTGTGACATTTATACGCTAATTTTATGCTTTATAAATGCTTAATTTAAACCCTTTTATGTGCATAAGGAGACTTTCAGGGAAGGCCAGCTTTTGCACATGTCCCATTTATAGTGAAATGTTCAAGGTATTAAACTTGCATTTTTGCCATCACAATAGTCTACACTACTTATATTCATTAAAAGTAGGTTTTATCAAAATTAATAAATATAGACTTACTTGTATTATTGTGGAAATATTCAACTACCACTCTTTCGTCACCTTATGAAGCCCAGTGTAAATGCAGCTTTTATTAAAGTTTTACCGGTATTTAAAAGTCTACTTTATAAATATAATAATTAATCAGGCCTTTTGGCGTTGCTGCATGGTCCCGGAACGCCATGAAAAGATGAGCTTCACTTAATTTCTTATCTGACCTATTCGAAAATGCATCACCCTCTTGTAAGTGAACATACTTCTTCACCTCATCCAATCAGATCTTCAACAACTTCTACTGGTTCCGCATCTGCATAGAGCTGGGGCTATCCAACACTTTTGATGATTCCGTTGCTAGCCCTTTCTTAAAGAGCCCCGAATTCTGTCCAGTTGCTTCAATTCTGTCGGCGCTTAGTCCGGACAAACCTGATTCACCCGCCACAACTAGCCCCAATAAGGACTGTCAGCTGAGACGGGATACCACGACCACTCGTCCGGGACTCGCATACAACAGAACCGCTTTGCAACAGATAGCTCGTATATACAAGATGGCGACGACCAGTCATCAGGCCGTGAAAGAGTTGTTGTCTTACGTCAGTGCTTGGTCTCTCACAAATCGGGATTTTAAACTGCTTTTCGGCCTCGATCATCGTGTCGTCGACAAGCTGATTCGTGGTGTCGTCGCCTCTGACGGCAATCGGGATGCAGCAAAGTTGAGACTCGGAAGTCAGATGATGCTGAAGTCCAGCGGGACTCGAAGGAGGAGTGTGCAGGAGAGAAATGACAAATTACGCGTCACTCTGGTACGCTGGCCAATCGGCGCAGGCAGCCTTGCTACTGCCCTGGAGGCTCGATGGTGGAGCCGAATGTGCCTAAGCACATCGGCCAGCACACTTTCACTTCGGTCAGGGCGTGAAGAAATGAGGGTAAGCGAATATGAACACATTTTCACAGTCTAGCCAGAAGACTAATGCGACATTTTATAATAATCACGCAAGTGTGCTACTCATATAATAGCAGTAGAGCGTTATGATACTTGAAAAGTTTTGCACCCATAAGGTCAGATCTGTCTGTGTCAGTTTATCAGTTCACAAAGAGAAGAAGATGAAAAATATAGGCCACTTTTATTTGTATAATAATGCTTATTTTGAGGATCAGTTTATATACAGAAAATTACGTCTGCCCCCTTCAAAGTTGAATGTTAACGTAGTCCAGGTAAGAAAATCTTGTTGGAAATTAATATAATTTCGGATACGTTTTCATGTCCAGACGTTGGGTCCATTTTTGACAAGTAAACGATCAGATTCTGACACACTTCTGCCGAGACCTTTGACGAAGCGAAATTGTTTTTTTGCTTCCCGAGTTATTCACACAGGAGAGAGTGTTAAAGGATTTTTTATGAAATCAAGGTTAGCTTGCAGTTAGAAACTTATTCATTTACCCCTATCTTTGACCATTTGTCAAAACTATGCCTATGGAACTTATCTTTACAGTCGCCATGGCCTTTGTCGGCCTTGGTTTAAGAAGCTGTTAGGCAAGAATCACTGTTAGTATCAAAAATTACTCAATCCCTTATATTTTTCAGACTTTTGATAGCCGCAAATTGATAGCACCCATACAAAAATAGCGATAATTAATAGTGGCTTTGCGTAGCTCAAATGTGTATCTTGCCAATTGAGATCCCTGAATGATGCTGAGCTACAGACATCAACATGAAAAAGCATCCCTAACTATTTCATTCTAGCCTGAGGGAAGAAATATGGTGTTTCCTTCCAGAAGTCACAATTTCGTCTCATGCAATGGGGCTAGTTGTGGAAATATTT